ATTTGGATGCCAAGCTGGATTTGTGACTTTGGGTCCTGCCTTGGGGTTGCAAATCCCAGGACCCCGTGGAGTTCCAGCTAGGCCAGTGTCCATGATGCCACCCGGAGAAGAGAGCCCAGGATGCTTAGCTCATGTGCCACCAGCAGGAGCCCCAAGTTGTCCCAAAGCCAAGAGACTCCATTCCCCCTGGGCACTGATCATGACTCACAGGGACAGGAACTTTGAATCTGGAAGATGATGACATGTGCAGGCTCAAACTAGGAATCCAAACAGCAGGGCATGTGACTATGGTGAAGGGTTTCTTACCAGTTCCTAGACATTTACCAGTCTTTCTAAAAAGTTTTCCGCCAACTCGCCACTTTTTCAGAAAAAGAAGGAATAGATTTTTGTTTTTTCATTTATAGCAAAACTCCAGAGACATCTTCTTGTCAGAGGAGGCTCTATTGCTCCTACAAATAGAGTTCATTATTTTGTCAAAGTGAATTAAAATAGAATGTCACTTACTGAATGTCACATTTCTGGATGTGACATTGTATATAAAGGGTCCCACATTTTTATTTTTTTTTAAGAGTGAAATCTGAGAATCTTGGTTAGAATCCCACTTGAAGAAGAGGAAATATAGGCATTAAAAATCCCATTTGGGTTTCATAAAATTCCTTTCAAATGTGACAGTCTGGTAGAAATCAAGTAGCTTTCACTTCCTAAAATACAATTTTGATTAAAAATTTATAAAGCTATTTGGAGGAAAGATGCTACATAAATTGAGAATAAGTCTTATGGGTCCCTTAGAGAAAAACTGGAAGATTTCCACATCTAAGTGGTAAACAGAATTCGCTCCCTGCAAACAAATAAGCCTTTTTACTAGTTGGAGTGAATCCCTTTTCTCATTCCAGTGATTTATGCCTGAGGCGGCTAAGGATGAGTGGAGACCCCTGCGGGTGACATAGTTACCAGGACCAGACTTGGACCCAGAAGGACTGGCTGGGCCCCTACAGGCCAAAGACGAGTGTACTCCAGGGTCTCCATCTTCCTCACCTCAGATCATTTCCTGGAAGATTGAAAACCATCACCTCATCTTCTGGTGGCAGGTAGAAATGGGTGAATAAATTGAAGACGATTTTGCCTTGTCTTCTGGCCCAATAAATCCTTCTCAGAGCACGGGACTCATGTCTATAGGAGGGAAGAATGAAGGAGAAATTACAGAAACCTTGGCCTTGTTTCCACATGGCTGGCTTGGTGCCCTCCCCTATCCTTACCCCCCAACTGCCCCTTTTGTTAAGATCTTACTCAAGTTCTTCTTCTGTCAAGATCTTGCCTCACTTCCAAACAGGGTAATCAATTCCAGACCCCAAATCCCCTCAACAAATGCATTGTATAGATCTGTACTGTGGGACCCAAAACATTGTAATAATATTATGGATCTAAATGGCTATCTAATCCGTTAGCCTGTGAGTTCCTCAAGAGTAGACTTTTGTCTTCTTCAATTCTATATCCTTAATACATAGTATGACAACTAGCACACAGTAGTTGTGTAGGAAACACTTGTCAAATGAATGATTCGTTAGATGAATACCTGAATGGGTAAATGGAAAGTGAATGTATATAAATACTAGTAATTCAATGAATTCAAGAATGGAAAAATAAAGATACATGAATTAATCACCAAGTGACTATCTGCTATATATATATATATGTATATAACAATACTTATGAAGAAGGCACACAAGAAAGGTGATTAATAAAAGTCAACTCCTTATTGGAGCTGCTGCTCCGTGATATGAAGTTCTTGTCAGCTACCATCCAAGACATGATGGCAGAAGGACATTAATTCCATGGAATTTTACCAACAGCCCCATCTCTTGTGATGCTAGGATTCCTGGCCTATTTCCCAAGACAAGAGAAGCCAGTGTCCCCGAATGTGGGTCTGGAGTGGACTCCAAGAAGCCTCAGGTCCAGAATCTGGGGGGATGACAATGCCCAATAAGAGTTAAGGTTATTGAACATCTGCAGCTCCCAGGGGCAGCAAGGAGCTTCTCTGATGAGCAATTAAATAATCAGTGGAGAGTGTCACCTGGATAAGGATTGAAAACAAGGGCATGGGGGACATCTCAGCTTCAATGGATTTTTTGGGCAAAGTTGCTCTGCATCCTCTGAAGGTCAATAGGCTTGCTTTGGTTAAGTGAGGATTTAGTGCCAATGGTGTGTCCTCAGCACCCCCTGATGACACTACTGCCCTCTACCATGTCTCTTAGAAAGTGGCAGGGGTGAGAGTGGGATGAGGTCCCAGGATTCAGTTTCTGCAGAGAGAACCCAGCCACCAAACTCACATTGACCTGGAAAAGAAACTCAAGCCTTTGGATTCCTTTTTCAGAAGAAGATTGTCAAAGCCAAGAAAGATTGCTAAGTGGCCCCTAGTGTAAGAGGAACGACTCTAGAGTCCTTCAGATCTGACCCAAGCTCAGTAAATGTGGATGGGTCACGCTGGCCAGGGAGAGTGGAAGACAGTGATTCAGAGAGAGAGAGAGAGAGAGAGAGAGAGAGAGAGAGAGAGAGAGAGA